GTGTCGTTAACTTACACACTGTGACAATGTTATTGTTAATTTTATTTATTCATTTATTCTCTAGTTCATGTAAGTATACAAGGTGGACTTAATGCTAAAAGCATTATCTCCCAGTCAACCTTAGGGAAGTGTCAGAACATACGAATGCGGTACTAGTAATAATTGATATATGTGCATACATACAAACATTTACACACACACACACACATATATATTACAAGTATACTTATATATAATATATACTATATTATACATGAAGATGAGAATAATAGATAGCTACATTATTGCTTGTAGAATAGATTATTGCAATTTTTATATTGTAAATTAGTTTTTAGGCCCCTATTTTGTAAGCGTGAATGTCAAAAATAGGAAAATCCAGTGACATCAGAAGAAGACTTTACAACAAAAGTCTTTTCCTTGGGCACCTCAGTCCCATTCGTGTTTCTTATTTATTTATTTTTGAATAAAGCAAAAAAAAAAGGAAAAATTAGACCACATGTAAAAGGCGTATCAAGATAAATTATATACCATAGGGCCTACCATGAAATGTTTTCCGAGCCAAACGAAACACAAATTTGATGTTAAAATTGCATAATACATGCCGTTTGGAAATATGAAAAATGTTAAAATATCGTTCCTTTGGACTTTTATGATAGGATGTATGACGAACAAAATGTTAAACTTCATTTATTGATCCGATTTTGGTATAAACAAAAACACGAAATTACGTCCGAAAATTCGGAATTTCATTTCATGATAGACCTGCAGTTTGGAGGTTAGACCTTCAGAAATGTGTCTGTGAAAACTGCATTCAGTTTAGTTCAGTAATTTTTGAGTATTTACAAAACCGAATGTGTAATTACCTAAATGTGAAACCTATTTATGGCTCAACATAGATATAATTTGACTATGTGTTGATTGAAATAAGCTGTACGTTTGCCTAAAAATAAATAAAAAAATAAGTGATACCGGAACAAACATTGCATAACACACAGTTTGCTCCCACTTATCAGGCTATTTCTCTGCTCAATTCTCTGATTGCTCATCAGCCAGATATTGAGATATTTAATGATAAAATAGATATATTTTTTAAATGTTGCTCAAAATTTGTAAGTTTGTAAAATAAACCTGTGGCTCACTACACGTCTTGGGATACTGTAAGTGTGGTGAGTAATTTACAAATAAATATATAAATAGACAAAAATCCTAAAAATTGCCGATTTGGTATCTAGTATTATTATTAAAAAACATAAATTTCTCTTAAATATTTTCCATATGCCGACATCGTTTGGTTACAAATTATATTAAAAAGAAAAATAGATTTTGTTAGCCAAAAATGGTAACTTTATCGTTAACCCTTCTATGCATGATTTTTTTTTTATTGGTGAAATAAATGAAGATGATATAATTCATGTTCAAAATTAAAGGAAAAATGGTTAAAAAATTAATTTGACAACTATGTTTTGTTTTTTGCAATAGACATTATAAAGGTATACAGACACGATCCGTTTAAAGTGAACTTGGTCTTTTATATAATTTTTGGTCATTCAATGTTATGATGGAAATTTCCACCATTATGCAAAGAAGGGCTAAAATTTTCAAACTACGAATTACATTTTATTATAAAAATAAAATGACGAAGCAATAAAAATAATATACTATAATTAAATTAAACGTAAAAGAACAGGTCACGGTAGCGTATAGTGACACGAATTCACGGAAAATTAAAAAAAAAATCAAGTGAGATCACGAAAGAAATAAAAATATACATATATCTACTTTGGTCACCTAAATGACATTTTTTGACGACATATATATATATATATATATATATATATATATATATATATATATATAGTAAAAATAATATTGACTGGTCATCGCACTATAAATAAAACGCATTGTTGGATGCCAAAATATTACTTAGGTAAATTTTTTTTAATTTAGAGAGTTCTTATATTTTATTAATTACCTCGCTTTTTGTTCGCTATTTGAAATCGATCACCAGATGGCGTGTCGAGATAAAACACCCATCAGATTTTCAGATCTTCAGGAACAAAACTGTGAAAATCGCAATTTCAATATAGTGAAAATTCTATCATCGTACGGCTCGCCATCGACAGGGAGTTTACCCTCATACCCTACAGCCTAAATGGCCACGTACAACGCGGTTTTAGAGATGTTTCTTTCCACGAACACTCAGGTTATGGAATGACCTCCCTCCCTGCCGAGGTTTTCCCAAGAGACTACAGCATGGGGTTCTTCAAAAGGAGGATAAAGAGGTTTCTTCAGAGTCGGCAACGCGCGCGTAATACCTCTGGTATTGCAGGCGTTCATAGGCTACGGTAACCGCTTACTATCATAAGTTGCCTGTATGCTTGTTTGCCACCTCAGTGGTATAAAAAAAAAATTAATAATAAAGACAGATAGACACAATAGTTCATACTGGATTTTATTGCTGATGTTTCGATGTGAATTGCATCACATCGTGGTCACGTAGCACAGGAAAAATGTCTAAAAAATATTATAAAATGTTTATAAACCGCAATTTGAATATATTGTGAAAATTCGATATTACAGATAAAATAGTTAATTTTAAATTTTTGCGTCGTTGACACATATTTCAAATACACTATCGAGATTTAACACATCGAAAATTGCTGGCAAATAGTACTTACATACCTGGATTTTTATTACAGACGTTTCGACGTGGATTACACAGCATCGTGGTCACGACAAGACAGGCAAAAATATCTAAAAAATATAGTTTTGACATCTATTGATTTTATTATGACCCCTTAAAATAATATTTTTTAAATAACTCTCATGTACAGACGTTGTCCAGTTACTTCAATTTTCGGGTTCGGCATTCGATTAGAAATTTGAAAACTATTTTTTTCAAATTGACTCGGTCTGAGTATTTTAGGTTATGCCCTCAAACTACCAGAGGGAGATTTTGTATAAAAGTTGTTTGCTTGGGCACCTCTGTTCCCTTCGTGTTTTTACCGTGAAGCAGTTGTGTTTGCATGGCTGTGTTTCGGTTTGAAGGGTGGGATATGGCGTGAATTTACTAGGTACAGAAGAATAACACCTGAGTCCTCAGGAATGGCAACGTAGGTGGGATATCATGGGCGAAACAGTATACTCTGTTGTGTCCATGGTACTGTTCATATCTATAGGCGATGGTTGTCACTTTCCATCAGGTGGGCCGTCAGCTTATTTGCCATTTAAAGTTGCATAAAAAAATCCCACATCTTTAAGTATTTCGGTTACTTTGACTATTAAAATATTAACACTTCACGTCTACTAAGAATTATGTTAGCACACATAAATATTATGTCAAGTGAATCGAAGTCCGGTTCCTGATGAATGAATCGTGATTGTATGAGTCAAACGCATCGCCAGTTATTATAGTAAATATTGGACGATGAAGTACGAAAGTTGACGTAACGCACCTTAAGTAATATGCTAAAATAAATCGCCTTGTTTGTGTGTGAACTGTGAATCATTATTGAAAATATTTGTCTTACTTATAACCTGCTTCTAATATTTTTATTACAATGTAAATAATTTTATTACATAGAATAATAGGTAGATGAAATAAAAACTTACTAGTTTATTCATAAAAACGTCAAATCTTTCATAAATCTATTTTAGCTGTTGAACTGTTTTGTCTCTTTGTAACAGTGTAATAATTAAACTAAGTTTGTTTAGTTTTTAAAATAAGGGGGTAGTAATTATATTGATACTAACACCATCTAGGGGATTTTTCGTAAACTTATGTCTGTATCCATTTAACAGACATCTCTAGTATTCGTAACTTTATTCATTGGAAGAGATCAACTATACCTTATAATTAGCTGCATTGACTCTGATAAAATAGCTAAATTAAAATAATACCTGCCAATTATAAAATAGTATTGAAATTCGTATAGCTATTTCCTTGTGATGACCTAACATGTAACAGATGGAGGGGAAGGGGAGGGATTGTTAGTAATACGGACTACCAGTCCCGTTGCTAGCAATATATCCTGTCAGGTCGACCTCCACGTGGTCCTCCCTGGACACCATCGTGCTAAATTGGAATTCAGCACGATGGTGTCCAGGTTATATTCGTCACGAAGGGCTAATTGAACTGTTTTTTCATCCTCATCTATCATCCCACACTGGTGCCCCACCAGTGTATAGCGCAGTTAGCGCGGGCGGGGTTATTATTTCATTATCATCCATTGAAAAAAAAAAAACATGGAAAACACAGATATCAATTTCAAATAGATTTTATTAAAAAAAAAAAAAAGATTACAATACGAGCACAACGACAGACATTATTTTATTATCTGTTAGATATATCCTGTGGCTATGTTCGTGTAAATAAATACATAAACTATCCTATATGTTAAGTTAGGACTGTCTTTAGTATATAAATTCGATTCAAATCTATTCAGTACTTTTCGTGTGAAAGCAAACATTTATCCATCTTTACAAACTTTCGCATTTGCAACATTAGTAGAATAGACTGTATATCTCACTCACTCAATATTTGGGCATTCAAGCCCAAATATTACATAAAAGAACAAGTTCACTTTAAGTTGATCGTGTCTGGACACCTTTTTATTGTCTATGGCAGAAAAAAAAAACATAGCTGTCAAATATATTTTTATAACTATTTTTCCTTTAATTTTGAACATGATTTATATCACCTTGATTTATTTCACCAATAAAAAAATCATGCAAAGAAGGATTAGATATAAACAAATTTTTTTTTCTTTATAATATTAGGATAGATATAAAGAAAAAAAAATTAAAACTTCTAAAGTGAGGTCTCTCAATTACATGAAGATTACATACATATATCGTCATAGTCGTAGAATACTGACGGACCTATATATGTAATATTTGTCAGATCCGTCAGTATTCTACGACTATGACGATATGTGTTAAATAAAAAAAAAATTACACAAGTATATCTATAAAGTGAGTTCTCCTACTTCTTCTTCTAGGTGGCGCTAGTAGTAGCTGAGGCGAACCCCGCCAACATCTTTAAAATCGACATCACCCCCGAGGAGGCGCAGCAGTATCTGAACAATCCGCCATTCACGGAGCCCCAGCTGTCTGGACGGACAGCTGTCTTGCCACTGGTAAATATATTTTTTATGATGTAAGGGCAAACGAACATTTTTTTTATACAACTTAGAATGGCAAACAAGCTGACGGCCCACCTGTAAATTCACGCTATATCCCACCCTTCAAACCGAAACACAGCCATGCAAACACAACTGCTTCACGGTAGAAACTCGAATGGGACAGAGGTACCCAAACAATTCACTTTTGTACAAAGTCTCCCTCTGGTATACTTTATATATATATTAGGTCATAATAATTATATTTACTATATAATATAATAATAAATAATTATTTAAATATATATTATAAATATATATTATAGTGATTGTAAAACATTTCAGGTTAAATACAACGATCCTAGGTTTCGGGCGGCCGATGCTGGCCCCACTCTAGGCCACTACTGGAAGAATGGACGCGAGATTGAAAACACTGAGGATTATTTAGAAGAGGTAGGTTTTTTATGTTTTAATGTTTTTTTTATACAACTTAGAATGGCAAACAAGCAGACGGCCCACCTGATGGAAAGTGGTAACCGTCGCCTATAGACATGAGCAGTACCATGGACATAACAGAGTATACTGTTTCGCCCATGATACTCCCCATGCCATTCCTGATGACTCAGGTGTTATTCCTCTGTACCCAGTAAATTCTCGCCACATCCCACCCTTCAAACCGAAACACAGCCATGCAAACACAACTGCTTCACGGTAGAAACACGAATAGGACAGAGGTGCCCCAAGCAAACGACTTTTGTACAAAGTCTCGAGCGATTTTTCCTGTTACTTCATAAGTATGGGTTTCAGAAGAAAACTAATTAAAAAACATACCTTTTTGATGGCATATTAATACAAGACATATATTAGTTTTTAAGTTAGATCTTTAGGAAGGTAACTGTAGTAAGTAATCCTAAATATTTTGGTGTACTAATTTTTGCCTCATATCGGAATAAAAATACAGCCAAAAAAAAAAATACAAAGACAAATAAAAATAAAAATTCTAAAAAAAAAAAATTATTTGTCTTATAAAAGGGACTGTTGTTGCTCAGAATCGTAATTTTTTTATTATTTTACATACATACATACATATCTGTCACGCCTGTCTCCCATTAGGGTAGGCAGAAACAATGGAACGCCAAATGCTTCGATTCAAACAAACCATACTTTATTATTTTATTTTATACAATTTATCTAATTTGTGATAAAGACTTGTACTTTGTTCCATTGATTTTATTGTATATTTATTATACACGCGACCGGTTTCGAAACATCATCCTCAAGCGTAAATGATGCTTCGAAACCGGTAACGAGTAAAAATAACAATTTAAATAAAAAAGCCGGTCAGGCGCGAGTCGGACTCGCGCAACGAGGATTCCTTACAAAATAATCAAGTTTAATTTTTTTTATTGAAATAACTACAAATTTACAGTTTTCGGATATTTTTCTTTACTTGTGTTACATGATATTGTTTCTTGCCAAATTTCATGTTTCTAGGTTAACGATAAGTATCCTATCAGTTTTGATTCCTTTTGCCATTTGTCAAAATATGCAATAGAAATGGAATTGTATCGATTTAGAAGCTTGATTTTTCACTACTTTAAGAGATTATAGATCTGAGTATATGACATTAATTTTAACTTGATACCTCTACACGTTCTTAATCTTAAGAAGGTCTCGATAGATGGACGGACGGACGGATGAACAACGAAGTGATCCTATAAGGGTTCTGTTTTTTCCTTTGGTCGTACGGAACCCTAAAAACAGTGGAACTAAGTACTAAGCATTTTAAATAATATCACTTAATTGATTAATTAAGAATTCAACACAGTCGATTATAAATAATTTATGGTAGATATAATAAAACAATAAAGTAGGTATTGTATCTTTTAAATTATAATACAATCCGGCCTTTGTGGATCTCTAAAGGTACGACAATTTATCAAAAAGTTTCCTATTAAGAATAAAGCTCAGGGAGGTCTACCAAGAAACGTAATTCCGAAGTTTCGGACTCAATTTCGTATTATTGTTCATATCGAAATCGGTCCAGAAAATGGAGCTTAACATTTCATTAATCCTAAATCCTACCACAAAATTCCAAAGAAATTATATGTTAACGTTTAAAAAAAATTTAAACGGTATGTATTATGTAATTTTAACAGCAAATTTGTATTTCATTCGGTCCGGAAATTTCGGAAAACTTTTCATGGTAGGCCTGTAGGTTTTATGCATCGTAATTTTTTTATTATAACCGTATCTCCTTATCATATTATTACATCCCTATTATATTCATTTGAGTAATTCAAAAACAGTCTAGAAGAGATCCTCCTTATTTATTTATTTATTTATTCATTAGTACATATATGTGTACATGGCGGATTTAATGCTAAAAGCATTCTCTTCCAGTCAACCATAGGGAAGTGTCGGAATATTCGAATGCGGTACTAGTAATTATTGATATATACTAAAATTACATATATAAACGAATAAATATATATGAATAACACATATACTTACTATTAATTATTATAATAATTTGTGAAAAAGTACAAGTGATTTTCTAATAAAATCAATATATAACATGAGTACACTGATTCAATTAAGTACCTACATTATGTCTATTAACAATAAATATACTTTTTCAATAATGGAGTTCCAGATAATTTGTTTTTTATGCAACTCGACATACAAACTGCCCCCAATTCCATTGGTCAAGATGGATTAGGCGCTATGTACACGTACTGAAATGATGATGATGATGCTACTTATGTATATAAATGCTATATATACAAAGCACCGGAATAACGGCTAAAAGTTGAAAACCGTTGTGTTTGCATAGTTGTTACGGTTTCAGGCGACGTCACTGGCTCATATCATAGGTGTATAAAGCTGGAAGCAGCAATGACTTGATCAAGGTAAACGAGATAATATTTATTACAATAGCAATAATTTAGGATTTTGTTTTAATTGTGATCAAATTAGTAAGCAACTAATATGGGAATATACCTAATGGATTACTAAAAAGATTATAGGATCCGCTGTAGAGTTATCTAAAATATTGCCTAACATAAAAAAAAAAGTGAACTTATTAGCAAGAGAAGAACACAGGATTGTAATCAGTGGATTGCTAAAGGGATTATTGGATTCGTTTTAGAATTAGAAAAAACATCGCCTAAAATAAATAAAAAAGAAAAACAATCAATTGAGAAAGTCTATCTTTTCGGAGTTGCATTTGATTAAAAAGTTAACGAAGATGTATAAATATATTTAAGATAAATTGTTTCATCCATCCATTAGCTCAGATAATTTACATAATAAAGATAATTCATTTTGAATATTGGGATATTCAGTTGCCAAATTTAGAACTAATGCTTTAATTTTCAACAGGTTAGATACTGGGCGGATAGCCAAGGCTTCCACCAAGAAGATAATCTTCCAAAATACCAACCGCAGCCAGTGCAAGATACTGAAGCAGTGAGACTAGCCAAGATCGCTCACGAGAAGGCATGGAGGGAGGCGGCCGATGCTAACCTTCATCCTAACCAAAATTTACAACAACAGCAGCCCCAGTTAGTACTAACAACGTCTTTAAATTAACAAAATTTTACCTTCTTTTCTTCTTATTTTTTTTCTGATCACATTCATTCTTTTGAATTTTCTACACAACTTTTTGTGTTTTACACAAATTTAAATATATGTTTCTTTTATTTATATGATTTTATGAAATAATTGTAGAAATTATGGCAGTAATAATTATAGAAATACCTATTATATTACTTGATCGAAAAATAGAAGTAGACTCTACTGTAGTTATATAAATACTAATTATTTTTCAGGTATCAAAATCCACAAAATAGCCAAATATACAATCAAAGATACCAACAAAGTTTCCATGGGCAACAAGGAAATCCAGGATTCGGGTCACAACAAGGTAGCCAAGGTTATCAAGGTCAACAAGGATATCAAGGATTACAAGGTCAAGGTCAAAGCCAAGGTGGCCAAGGATACCAAGGTCAACAGGGAAGTAATGGGTTCGCAAGTCAGCAAGGTTTTGGTGGACAGCAAGGACCTCACGCCCAACCAGGCAATCAAGGATTTGGTCAACAAGGATTCCAAAGCCAACAGGCGGGTCAAGGCCAAGGTTTCGGCAGCCAACAAGGAAGTCAAGGACAATTTCCAAGTCAACAGGGATTCCAAGATTTCCAATCTCAAGGCTCTGCCCCGCAAAGCTATGTAGCTAAGCCTGAAGATAACTCCCAGAATCGTGAAGGGAGATCTTACGAGCCGAACTACGGTGGTCAAGGTCAGGGCCAGTACGGAGCGCAGGCAGTAGCCAGTGCGCAGTATAAATCTGTACCAGAACAGTATCAGAAGAATGCTCAGCAACAGTACGAGTCTGGTCAATACGACCCTAAATACCAGGATCCGGAGCCCACTGTGAGTTGAGTTCAGCATTTTATAAATAGAACTAACTTGAATCTCTAATACTTGAAATCCGAGAAAGTAAATAACTAAGGAACCTATTCTAAAATTACGACATCTGAATCATTTATTCACATCGCGCGGTCACGATATTAATGTGGTTTGAAAGGAACAATAATTATTTTCATATTTCGAATATGTTTCTCTGATTTTAGATAAGAAAAAGTTTTATGAAACTACAATACAATCATTAAATTTCGTAAATCTTTTCCGATGAAATTTCATAGGTGCGTTTTTAAATGACTTTAGTACGAAGGAGGTTCTCGATTCGATTCGATTATATTTTTCTAATGTTTCGTTACCTCATAATTCTATTTCTAAACCGATTTGAAAAATTCTTTTTTATTTGAATGGAGACACTAACAGAATAGTTTTATATTAAATTTTCTCAAAATCGGTATAGTCATTTAGTTTTTATATCTAATTAACTGGTCTGTCACAATTGAAGTCGGTTTATATGTTGGTAACAATCTTTAATTATTTATGAAAGAATGACAAACAAGCTGTCGGTCCATCTAAAGGAAATCGGTTTGGTATTATTGTTATGGGTGTGGTATTGATGGCATTATTAGATATAAGCATCAAGGATCTCACAGAATACTCTGTGATACCCACAGTACCCCTCATGTGTTGCTATTCTCAAGGATTATAGTGTTATGCCTCTTTGTAAACTATTTATAGGATTAAATTGATTTCTACAGGATAGCTGTATGGTCCTGGCATAGAATGGGCAACCCCTTCATTTCCTGTGGGTGTCGTAAAAGGCGACTAAGGAAATTTAATAGTTATATTTTATAGTTAATAGGGATGGGCAGCAGCGTCCTCTTAAAATACTACTAAAGCATAACTGCGGTTGCCAATCAGCCTGTCAAGCGTGACAACTACTTGCAAAACCTAATAAAGTGGAAGATTTTGCAAGTATGTTTAACAGTGGACAGTTAACGCTGATATAGTAAAGCTTTATGCATTGTTAAAGATTTATGTGAAAATTTTATGTAATTTAATATAATGACGATTTTAGGTCAGACAAAAATTGAATAAATATAGAAGCGAAACTATTTTAAGAACAATAGTTAATAATTTAAAAGTAGATATAAAGAACTATGAATAAATTGATAAATATTTCTGATTTCAGGGTCCTCCACGAGGTTTCTTTTACAGCTATACTTATCCTGTATCTATCATTACATCGAAGAGCGAGCTTCAAGGCGGGGCTGCGAACCCTGGACATCCAGTAGACCATGACACAATAGGAGTGTCTGGCCATCACTAGCAGGGAAGCGAGAGGTTAAAATTTAAGGTGCTATTATAAGACATTTTAATTTGTAAAATAATTTGAAAACTGTAGTAACTAATATTGACAGAATAAAAAAATGTTTCGATCCCAAATAAGAGGATATATTAAATATAACTGCAAAAAACAAAAATAAATGAGCGATCTAGGTGCAAGTTATATTCTTGGTGTTCTTTACACCAAGAATTAGTTTGAATGGTTACAAATCTACTCCTTTAACAACTTACTTTATTTCAAGGCGGCCATTATTATAAATACAATGACATTATTCAGTTGATTTTCTTAGAATAATAATACTTTGATTGATGTATCTAATTTATAAAATCAAATACCTCGTGTTATTCGAAAGAATTGTTCTACATTATCATAAAAATGGATTCAAATTTTATTTTTGTATTTTTGGTCTTTTTTTTATATTATATTATTATATTAGTTACTCCATTGGAAAAAAATATTGATTTAGTTTTGCGATGGTATTTTTTTTTCATGGCTCGTTTAATTGCTACGTAAGCAATAACTTTCAATTGCTTTCTCCAACAATTTTAGTAGTAGTTAAATCACAAATGACTTCCCGATTACTATAGCAGGAAGCTATTAGTGATTGTCTTCGACTAGTTTGTATTGGAATATGACAGTTTGTATGTGACGAGTACATTTTGTTAAATCGATTCCCATTGTTTGTATCAACTGTTCAAACAAGGTTAATAACGTTGCCATTTAGAAGTAGGTTATGCTAGTTTTTCTGTCACATTATGGTACATAATTATAGTTATTATAATTACTCTACTTTTTATATTTTTAATTATATTTAAATTTAAATTGTATAAACTTGTACTATTTCTGCCTCATACTTTATTTTTATATAAATAATATACAAATTTATTAATTTACGTATAGAGATTTATTAAATTTGAAATAATGTAAATTAAATTATTTATTTTACTTTCATATATTAAGTATAGTTAATATTTATTATTCATATACTTAATATTTTTTTTATGTATTTTAATTTATTTTGAGGATAAAATAAATATCAGTGTACCATAATGACTATTGCATGTTGTATGTAGTTTGATTGGTGTTTAACAGTATAACTTAACATTAGTACTCAAAAGGATCACAATTTCTTATTATTATATATTTGTAAACATTATTTTCAGTTATATATACTTGGCCTCAATTTTACTGGTGCCTAATTTAAATAGTAGAATACTAAAATGACAAAATACTGTAACGAAATATAACTATTTGCATTCTATTGAAGCTTAAATTACCCAATTGAGGGCCAGAAGATTTGTTTTAGATCTATACTTGTATTTACAAAATAAAAGTAACCTTAAAAATAATGTTGGCAAAAAAAAAAAGAGGAAAAATAAATAGAAAATGCCATAGAAGGTGCCATAATTTAGAAATTGAATATCGAAATTTTCTTTATTTGAGTTAAACTCTTGAACCCATTCATTCTCTTGAATAATTTGTATGGTATATTACCGTAGTTTATAACTTTACACATTACAGGTCAAGTGTAATTTTAAAAACGTTGTATAAATATATAAAAATTGTATCGACAAAGTTTACATACATTTGATTATGTTTATAACAAATTATACAAAAAATTAAATCAGCAAGAACATTTAATTTTATTCAATTTAAAGCTAATGACAAATGTAAAATAGAATAGAAGTGTAATTTTATTTTTTTATATAAATAAAGCATTTCGTCTTGATGTGTTTACTTTTTTCTGTTCACTTTTATATAATAGTATATGAAATATACTATGTAAGCAAAATTTTAATAATTTAATCAAACATTTTTGATACGAATGTATGAACATTTGTATCAAGTATAATTTGTTAAAAAAAAGAAGACATGAGTCTTGTTTATTTGAAATCTATATAAATATTGAAATTATGATATTAACTTTATGTTCAATTTTAATTTGTAAATAAATAATACAAGTTTACCACGTAAGTAACTTACGTTTTATTCGCGTATGGGGTCAGCTAAGCCATTGCACGTCGACCCATCGGGATCTTTTGTACTTCCTCCTGCCTTATACTAGCATTTTATACATCCTATTTGTTACCTTAACGATATCCCGCGGTTTAAGACATCTGTAGTCCCCTGGCTCTGTATAAGCCGTTCCTAGTAGATTCAAACGCATACTTGAGGACGAGTCGCAGTTGCACATCAAGTGTTCCATGGATTCCGATGTTTCACCGCACAATCTGTCCAGTGTGTTCGTGAGATCCATCTTGTATAGTATAATTATGCCTTACCAGCACATGTCCAGTTCAGACACCTATTAAGTAACTAACTTAATACAAAGATTAAAAAAAAAAACAAGCAAAAGCAAAGATAGTAGTAGAAAATATTTTATTATTTATTTATACAAATTATTCAGACCATCGTTTATTTATTGATTAAAAAAATTAATAGGATTTCTTATAACTGTAATGCCTACCATATCCACTATAACTGTACACAACCCATTACAGTCTTTTCCCATATAAATAGAAGAGGTAACTATTGTCACGCTGGTTTTTTTTAATTATTTTGAATAAGGGCAGGTTTGTTACTATGTAAAAACTATAATAACATGATATTTGGTATATTATTTGTTCTGGCATTTGAACTATATTTAGCTATAAATATATAAATAAACGTTTGTTAACCTGATTAAACACAATCAACACAGATGTAACATGGTATATGTTAAAATATGCTTTACATATCTTAAATACATTTTTGTTATATCATAATTCCTAAAAAAGGATTCATTTTTATCTGTAATACACTGTTTGGTCTAGAGATCGAATGTGATCTCTTCTAAAAATCTTAATTAAGTCATTAAATTAACGAAACATTTTATATTCTTGTAAAATGCATCGTAATTTTTGTACACTTCTTCGAACTTCCCATTAAATTGTGCGACAAGTATGAATGTATTGCAGGAAGTCGAATGAATGCGGATATCTCAAAGTCATTTCTTATGGTACTTTATGACTGTATCTTAGGATCATTCTATGTGAAATTTTATGGGGTAGAACTATGAAGACAAACATTGGTTAATGGTTGAAATGATGATGTTATTTCACAAAAGCTGTCCTGGAATCATAGGCATCTAGACAGGCATAATTATAATGGGCAAAGCCTGATTTTGCTTTTTAATTTGTAACTGTTTCAGCAGCACTCTTAAGTTGGTATCTTGAGGAGTTTCTTGAGGCTTAGGTTTTAACGGCCATCTCTGTCCAATACCTGATATAATACTAGAAATCCAGTTATATATCCACGACGCGGTATCTGGAACGTTGATTTCTATAGGTAGAAATGGTATCGCCGATATTATACCTCCTATAGAAACTCTACCTCTATTAGGTACAAGTAATATAGCTTTCTGTGTTTCTTCAAGAGCATCGTTAGGATCTTCAGATTCTGCATTTACAATAACAGAGTCCAATTCTTCATCGACTTCTTCATTGTTAGTATTTTTTAATTGGTTCTTATCTTCTAAATTGGGCGCAGGGGAAAATTTTAAAAGGTTGTTCGCATCTGATATTGTATTTTGTAATGGATTTGGTACTATTATTATCAATGGTGGTGCTGTGTTCCTGAAATGAAACATTTAAGTCAGTATATAATTGGAAAGAATGTAATTTGTCAGTATGTAATTTGAAACTATTTCATATATTATGTCTACTGCGGCTCTGCCCTCGTGTATCTGTATGTAAAGTATCCCATGTGCTGAGTTAGAATATAACGTACTTATCTACCAAATTTCACTCAAATGTGTTTAGTATTTTATGCGTGAAAGAGTAACAAACTTCAATCTGTCCATCCGTTGTTACAAATTCACATTTATTGTATTCATAAGTAATAGGATTTTAATTAAATATATAAGTATTGAGTGGGTGTAGATATATACTATATGAATAGACAGTCAGAAGGACAAGAGAGAGAGACAGCCTTTGTAGAACCTAAGTAGATATAATGATTAAGCATCAGCGCTTATAGAAATAATCTTTTTTTTTCTGTTTGAAAAATTTTTGCAAAATCTTTTTGCAGGAAAACATAGCTTTCCTTAGAAAGATTTCGTAGAAAGATTTTGCAAAAACTTTTGCAAAGTTTTTGCTTATTGATATTACCTTATTATTTGTTACGGCTTTATTTCGAGTTATTTTTCCTTGCACTATATCTACTACTATATCGTGTTCGTTTTCAACTGCCTTAAAGAACACTATGGAGTTGAAAAGAAGTAGACATATTTAAAATATTGCACTACTATTACAAAAAGAAAAAAAAAACATACGTTCCAAGCGGCGTATTCACTACATTCAGCTGCTTTAACATCTGCAACTGTTGTAATGCCAATAATTGTTGCTGCAACGATCTTGAAGATTCCAACTGCAGTGACTGGTGTGATGAGACCGGTGCCGCGTATATCTTCGTTATTTGTAAACACAACACTAATATGGTTAAACTCATCTTAAAATTTATCTTTTCACTTTTCATTGGCAAATTAAAAAATAACATCGATTGTATTTTGTTTTAACTATAACTTAATTTTATGATTAATATTTTCGTTTTTTATTCTGTCATTTTGTATATTATGTATTAGTAATTTTATAAACTTTTCCACACTTATATTTTAAAAATATTTTTGTAACACAAGATGTTAATTCCGTTGATATATCAAACACAAATTTTTTCTTAACTCCAAAATGTGAAAAATATTTTGCACTTCTTTTAAGTATATATGAAACACACCTATTTCTTTTTAAAATATATGAAACACTCTTTTTCTTCTAAGTTCATATGAACGTTTTTTTTTTAATTATAAACAATGCGAATCCTTCGACGGTGGTCTTCAATGTGGCAGTCAGGACCTGCGCTCGCGCATATAATTATTATGCATGCGCGATAACAACATACTGACCCACTGACTGCACTTCCGACCCTGTCGCTTTCTTTTTTAGGGTTCCTTAGTTATGTTTCTCGGTTGATTTTCACTCTTGTTTGTCTAAAACTAGATTTTTTTTATTTGTGATGGGTAATTAAAAAAATAACAGATTAAAAAAAAATCAGTGATTAATACGTATATCTTATTTTCAGTTCCTTCATAACGCAATATTTTATTAAAAAGGAAAATACGAACCCGGGGAATCAATAGCCCAGATTGAGAAAATTTATATTGATAATCTCTCTGTTGTATTTTGTGGGATAAGTTAGTTTTGTGTTTATATATTATATATTTTCATTGTCATATATAAAGTGTTCATCATATAAAGTGATAAGTGATGGGTAGTAAACATCCAATTATCGAATTTTAAAAGGCGTGCAATTCTGCAAACACCTTTCTTCCCATCTTCTCAACTCGTCCCATCAGGTGGACCGTCAGTTTGTTTGGTTCGCTATTAATAAAAAAAAAAAAAACTTTATAAACTTTCACATTTATGGTATAAATTGGTCTTTTTATTTCAACCCGTTTTCATATACATTAGTACTCGTATATGAAAACGGGTTGAGTAAGATTATATGAATTTATTTTTAGATTACTTTAATTTTATTTTTTAACTATTTTAAACGTAAATGGTTGAAAGTGGAATGGTAATGCCACCAGCGCAATTATGAAATATATGCTGGCGTGGTATCGGTACATGATGATAGATTGGAATGAAGACAGGTTAGTTGGTTTAGTGCAAATACACCAGGAATTAACCACAATGGTTTCCACGGAAGATTGTTTATTTATTTATTTATTAGAAACCAACGGCGTTACAGTTAAGATTTACATACTAGTATTTAAAATATTAAGGCTAATAACAGGTTTCTTATTATTATAAAAGTACAAAATTGGTTTGCGCAAAAAAGAAAATGTACAATGCAGACATTCAATCATAAGACACTCAAATACAAATATTTACCAATGCATGTATGTTACAGTATATTCAGTACTGCTATATTTATTTTATACATAAATACAACAATAAATCTGATAGGTCGTAGACTATATTATCAACAAACTTCTCCCTTCATTACCATATCATATCAGCCAATAATTGTCCACTATTGAACTTAGGCCTCCTCCTATTGGGGGGCCAATAGTTGCCATGTCTGGCAGGTGGATTGGTAACCATAGTTAGCCATTGGTGATGTTATAACAGGGACCCAAACCTCTAACATTAAGATCCCTTAGTCATCTCTTATAGCACCCATGGGAAAGGAGATGACCATTTGATGACCACGGCTATATATACCATGTTATTATTAGTTCTTATATGTACTTATCAACAATATATACACGTAGGTGGAAAAGGGATTGTCAGCAATCGAGTTTGACAGCTCCAATGCTAGCAATTAGCCTATTAGCCTATTCCCACTGGAAACCATCGTGAACAATTCTTGTTGAATTCGTCACGATGGGCTAACTGACCTGTTTCATCCTCATTTATCATTCTTCACTTCGCTAGTGTATACCGATAGCACAGGCGGGGTAACCATTCCAATGTCACTCATTAAAAAAAAAAAATATATATATATACACGTACATATTAACTATACTACGAAATGGAGACTACAAGTAGTCCGAAATAGTACCTCTGTTCCACTAATATTTCGGTTATGAAGCATGCATGACTGAGTTTCAATTTGAAAGGTATGATATGGCATTTAATTTATAGGGTACGGGGGCATAGGACCATAATCTTTAAATGGATTGCCATGCAATATGCATTGACATAGCGTGTAAGATCCATGGTCTTGCTCACGTCTATAGGGAGTGGTTGCTACATTACATCAGGTGGGCTCACAGCATGTTCCCAAAAATTGACAAATGTAAAAAAAAAAAAAGAACTATATAACTTAACATACGTAAGACAAGCTAAAAAAAAAGTAGGGATATATATTTACATGTGTTACATTTTCATATTAAGAAATAATAAAATTTTCATCGTGTCTCCAATCAAACTGTTTATAATTACTCCTCTCCATCCAAAGGTTGCCTGGAAGAGATCGCTTTTAGCGATAAGGTCGCCCATTCTTTTCTCATTGTGATTATTTCTTGTAATTGTTTATATTTATAATAAGTTTACTATTGTAATCTTTTGTAGGAAACAATAAAGAGTATCTATCTATCTGAAAGAATGGAAAGAAAAATGGGAAACTCTGGAACCCACTACTAATAATCCCTTTACAAAGTAGATGCTGAATTCTCATGATGACATTTAAACGAGTTTGACACGTAATAATTTGTTTTAAGTATATACATTTAAGTAACTAATTAGGGTTAAAAGACAGTTAATTATTTAGGTTTGTTAATGGCATTGTATGTTAACCTGAAAAGATTACTAATATTATTACTTATAATGTGTTTAGTTTACGCAACGTGACATTTCTGGCCCTCTAGACAAGTGGCAAGCGAATTCGTCAATGGAATCTTTCACTTGAAATTCGTCACTTTTTTGGTCTAGATATGTTACGCGACGATAAAATAATGGAATTTATCTTGGTATTCTATTAGACATTCAGCCAGACAGAACGGAATCTAGATAGAGATTAGATACTTCAGTTTGATCCCCGTTAAATAAACTAGTTACAATTTGCTGTCCACTTTCAGTTGCGTGCGGAGATTGTACAATGTGATAAACAAAAAAAAAAAAAAAATAAAGAATTCAGTAATGACCAAATAGATCGTCGAACAACAATATGGTACGTAAAATTTTGTAGACATATTAGATTGGGATTATTTGAAACTAGGTTTAATTTTTTTTTATACAACTCAGAATGGCAAACAAGCTGACGGCCCACCTGACGGAAAGTAGTAACTGTTGCCTATAGACATGAGCAGTACCATGGCCATAACAGTGTATACTGTTTCACCCCTGATACCCCCCATGCGCTGCCATTCCCGAGGACTCAGGTGTTATTCCTCTGAACCTAGTAAATTCACGCCATATCCCACCGTTCAAACCGAAACACAGCCATGCAAACACAACTGCTTCACGGTTGAAACACGAATTGGACAGAGGTACCCAAGCAATTGACTTTTGTACAAAGTCTCTCTCTGGTAAAAATCTTGACTTTGTCTACTTAACTGAGGTATATTGATTGACTAGGGTAAAAGTAACCCACGTCATACGTTATCTCAAAGCTTCCAATTTCGTAAGTGTATGAAAAATTTTATAATTAAATATAATTAAAACACTAAGATGTAGCAAATAAATGAACTGTGTGTGTGTGTGGGGGGGGGGGGGGAGGAATTATTAGTAATGGAGACTGAAAATCCCATTGCTAGCAATATACCCAACCAGGTCGACCTTCTCGCGGTTCTCCCTGGAAAATATCATGATTAATTCCCGATGAATTCATCATGATGGGCTAACAGTCTTGTTTTCATTCTCATCTATCACCCTTCACTGGTGCTCCGCCAGCGTATCCCGTTAGCGCAGGCGGGTTTACCATACCATTTTCACCCATCAAAAAAAAAAAAAAACCATCCTTGTGAATTCTAGTGGTATTCGTCACGATGGGCTAATTGACCTGCCTTTTCATCGTTCGTCATCTATCATCCTTCACTGGTGCCCCGCCAGTGTATACCAATAGCGCAGGCGGGGTTACCATTCCATTATCATACATTAAAAAATAAAAAATAAACACCCATTAATTGTTCCCTGCTGAACATAGGCTTCTCCCTATTGGGGGGTTCTGGCAGTAGTTGCCACGCTTGTCAAACAGGTTAGCAACCGCATTTAAGTTTCTGGTGATGTTTTAAGAGGGACGCTGCTGCCCATCCCTCGAAACTCCCTTAACTTTCCTTGAATCGCCTCTTACGATACCCATGGGATAGGAAGGGATAGCTCAGTCTATGCAGGTACTACACGGTAAAAAAAAGTATAGTATGGACTAATACACGATCAAACAATCAGTTTAAACATTGTTTAACTGTAAAAATAATAATTGAAATCGGTGCAGAATTTTCAATAGTATTCAAAATTGTATATCGCGTAATATATAAAAAAATATGTGTGTGCCCCGGCATAGAATGGGCCACCCCTTCCTTTCCCGTGGGTGTCGTAAGAGGCGACTAAGAAAGGGCGAGGGATGGGCAGCTGCGTCCCTCTTAAAACATCTCTAAAAAGCCTTTAACTGCGGTTGCCAAGCGTGGGATACTCAGTCTTGCAAAACTCCGGTTATGTGGAAGGACTAATACACGATGTCAATCAGTTTAAACTTTGTTTAATTGTAAAAATAATGATTGAAATCGGCTGAAATAATAATATAAAATAAAAATACAATGAATCTTTACTCCTTTTAGAAAGTTGATTGAAATATAATTTTAATTAATCTATCTCTCTATGTTTAATAAGGTAACGAGCATAGATGGTTGTTTCTATTGGAAGGCTAGGATATAATAGTGAAATTATAAGGCATAAGAGCATAATCCTCAGGAATGACAGCTCATGGGTGTCACAGTTTATTCCGGTTATTTGATTAGAATTATTTTGTTTAATTCCGCTACCATTAGTATACACATACTAATGGTAGCGGAATTTGGCGTGACTGCCAACATTAAAAAAATTACTAGTATTATTATTACCAGAATTTGACACTTTTGAGTGTTGGTAGTTGCATATATACTAACGGTGGCGGAATTGAACAAAATAATCTTAGTTCAGTGAAATATTTAATAACAATTTATTCTGTTATTTTCATGGTGCTGTTCATGTCTATATACGACGATTGTCACTTTCTATTAGCTTGTTTGTTTAATTGATAGTGTAATCTATAAAATATATAAAATTCTCGTGTCACGGTGTTTGTTACCAAACTCCTCCGAAACGGCTTTACCGATTTTCATGA